TTAAGCGGTAAAATTGGTATTTTGGGATTTGACGATTACAATTACGACCATTAATGGTTCATTTACAGTGTAATCTATGTATTAATATTTATGTGCTATAAGTAAAAATTATAAATTAATTGATGTGTTAATAGTTTTCGCAGACTTTGGAAACAGCATTTGAAACTTTAATTATTTAAATTGGGACTTTATTTAGAATATCAGAATATAAAAATTAGCTAAAAGATATATTTAATATTATGAAAATCTCGATATATCATCAATTTCAGCACTGGCCAGGTTCCACACTATTAAACTACCATCAAATGCACAAGATGCAACATAATTTTTTGATATACTTATACACCTAACCGCTGTAACATGTCCTCTTAATTCCCTTAATAATTCCCCTGTCTCCATATTCCATACGAATGAGGATCTGCTACGAGAGTTTTTGTAAGGGAGAGAGATTGGACGATTATGTAATTCACAAAATAAATAAATAAAACAAATAACCTGAAGAATGTAGAAGCTGCCAAGATTTTCTCATCTAGCAAGAAATCAACCGAACTAAATGAATTTCCTGACAAAGCATTAATACATTCACCTGTCTCAACATTCCAAATTCTAACGGTTCTATCAGCTGACCCTGTAACCAAAATATTTTCTTTTAATTTAGCATCGTTGATACGTTCTCTGTGTCCCTTCAACAATAATAAATGGCAACGATTACTGATTTCGCAGATGTTGATGGCTGGATTCAACATCTGATGCAATGTAAACAATTACAAGAAGCTGATGTAAAAAGACTATGTGATAAGGTATTTATTAACGAAAAAATTTTTTATTGTCACCAGTTTAATGAGGAGTCTGGCTGGAGTCTATTTATTTAATTAATGTTATTTAATAAGACATGTTGTGTTGTTTTTTGTTAATAAGAAAATAAACTGGAAATAATAATTACATGATAAAATAAATGCAATATTATGCTAAAGCTTTTAAATATTATATTTTAAATCATATTACTACTGG